GCCTCTTTTGTCATCTCTTACAATTTTAATCTTGTAATGGTCTACAAGATTAAAATTGGACCTACTGTCGACCGAACCTTCTGCATTCTCATTTCTCTAAGGCTAGGCTACAAAGTATCTAAATAGACACCGAGGTGCTTTCTATTTTTTTAAATAAGTGCGCATTTGCCTTTCATTCCACCTGATGGAAAGACACGATGAAGTTGGCGATGGAGCGTGCACAATTAAGAAAAAAAAAATCTCTCTCGCCTTAAAAAGGTCCAAGTTATAACTTTACGATATATCGATCAGGGAACAAGTTATGAGGCAGGGGGTTCCACTCCACAGCCGTTCGCCATATAAATGTGGAAGCGAAACACTTCGTGCTAATTCTTGGAATATCCACAACATGGAACCCCAACCTACTTCTGATCCCCCAATGATGGAAAGGGAAAGGCGTAATTAAATCGTGTATTTTTTTCACACAGTCTCGTGATATATCCTGTACAATACATGCAGGCAACTTCACGGCGGTGTTCAAGGCTCTGCAGCTTCACCTCTACTAGATTTTAGTAGCAGTAGAGCTCCTTGTGAAAGAGTTCGTTCTGGAAAGTAGGTACCTTACCTATTTGTGCCGCCAAGCAGTAATGTCAGTGCATGTGCATGTGCTCACATTGCTACGCTCCGGTTTTGAAAGGTAAGGATGCTGGTGAAATTACACTGACTTGTCAACTTGTGTCTCTGGGTGACGGGCGCAGCGTCAGTACCCCTCAGACAGGCGTGTCGCTTATTGAATTAGGTATTGATGATGAGTTATTAAATTTTAATTTTTACTAACCCTACAATCAGTTCACATTTTTGTATATATCGCACTGTTAATACAATAGTGTATTAATTCATAAAGTGTATTTTTTCAGAATCGATGAAAAACGAATACTCACTTCCCGTGAAAGATCATTAAAATTGATATATAGCGTAAAGTTTATTACTGACATCTAAACAATTTTCTACTGGCCCAATTTTTTAGAAATGAAAGAGAAGAAGTCATTTCATATTTTTGAGCAAGAACTTTATGTCTTGACCAGAACTAGCTCACATAAAGTTTGTCTCATTTCGACTTAAATAGATATATTTTAATTGTGTCTTACAATATTCTACCGACGGTTTTATTGACGTGTAGAGAATCAAATTTCGGTTTCAGCAATAATTTAATCCTGAAATTCACATATTTTGAGTTACAACATTATTGTAATATTAGTGCAATATACATATATTATTGTTTAAATATGAAATTTTTTTTCGAATCCAAAGTGCGTAACGTAATTTTGTTTTTTCAAACAAACCAACGATCGGGCTATTTACGGGACCCATAGTCATGACTGATGGCGATTTAGATCGGAAAAAACATGTTTCAAATGTAATGAGTAGCAATCGTGAAAACCTTAAAAAGATCGTGATACGCATTAATAAATAATTGTTTATATTCAAAAATAAGCAATGTAAATTAATGATCGAAAATTTGAAAACAAAATCGAAGCTCATTGATTAATTGTACTGTTTACTTTTGATATTGTAAGTCCTACGTAATTAATAATCATACATCAAAGTACAAACTATATGGAATAAATTATTTGTATTATTAATTTTAGAATTAATATTTATCTACCAAGATCATTAACGTCATTTAGTGATGACGGTCGTATAGATCTTTTCTGTAATTCAGCGTTGAAAATATAAAAACTATTATGACTAATAACTTCTTATCAAGTGACAATAAAGCGATTGTTGCGTTCTCGTAGAAGCGTTATGTAGTGGGTGTTATTTTATTATTTTCATATGTGGAACCTTGTAATTGGCATCTGATTAATCATATTTAAATCCATGTAGTAAAAATCGCTCTCCATAGAAATAAAATATGTGAAATTTGATAACTGTCCATTAATAATGTCGATTAATCTCGTTCGTAGAGTCTTTAAACCTCCTGAATAATTGTCATTTTGCAAAAGTGCCCTTATTAAATCAAGGGTATGAAATTCTACTGTCGTTTATTCAGACATTAGTAACTACTTAAAAAGAAACATAATCGTAATTATTAATACAAAGTTCGAATGCTTAGAAAAATTCCTTCGATCGGGCTAGATTCGAATTAGCGACCGCCTCTAAGCATACGGTGCCAGACGCTCTCCCAACTACTGTGGAACGAACTATCTGCTGGTTGTCAATCTTTCTATGTCGTTGCAGATTTTTGTTTTGATTTTTTAACGATTTTCTTGCCGTTGTGCTATCTGTGAGAAACCAATTTTTTTCAAAAAGTCGTTATAAAGCGGTGTTTTAATTTTCTTAATTTTTTTTTTTCGAAAGCTATATTTATTGGGCAGTTTAACAATTTGGAAGCTGCGATGCTTCAAAAAGACATACATGCAAGACACAGAGGCTCTAAACTTATTAATCACCTCCTTTTGCATCGGAAGTTAATAAACAACAAGTAAAGTCGTTGAAAACCAAATACGAAGAACCGACAAAAACAAGCACGTAGAAAAGTCCGCTGGTTCGTTCCGTGGCTTAGTTGGCTTAACGTCTGCCACGGTTTGCTAGAAGGCGTCGGTTCAAACCCGGCCGGATCGATGGAATAATTTCTGAGTGTTCGATCTTTGTATTAATTTTAACAATTTTAACAAACTTGTGGAGTAATGTCACAAAAATAATTGAATATCAATTCAATATAAATTTAAACAACAAGTAGTTACTAAAATACAACCGTGTAGCATATATTATGTGATTGAAATAAGTATAAGCTTGAGGCGAAATTTAATTTTTTGCTTTTTGGTTGTGTACTTAGATTGATTAGACAGCACAGTTGAGCTTATATGAAATACGTGCAGCAAATTGACCGTCTGCAAATCCCTTAACCAAATAGAGATGGGCTCTAAAAATCTTATCTGGTATTTTCACATTTTTGTTAACTGACACAAAATGTAATCCAAAACTTACTACATCTATTATCTATTGCCGGTATTAAATTTCATTACAACGTAGTCCATTTCAGATCCTATTTGGAAAGGGATTTCGCTGAATGACCCAAAAGTAAAGGACAAAGGGCTTTTAACCAAATCTTTATATTCTTCTGAAATATGACCCCTTTATTTTGGATACGGAAATTTGATTCGGAAGTCCTATTGATATCTTTTGAGGTTAACGAAACTGCTATCCGTCCGATAAATCGGTGGATCTATAATATACAATCACGTAATTAGTGCGATCCTACAAAGTGAATGGCGCACTGAGGAGTACGCAACGCATGACGGACCACATCACCGTTTGATGAGGCAGCAGCGACAGCGAAATCCATCCGTATCACAAACTACGCAAACGTGTAGGTATTACACCACAACACAGCCGCGACCACATGCAACGCGACATTAATTAACCTACCAACAATTTTTTGGTAGGTCAATGGCCACGCCTGTCAGTTAGTTTATCTATGGCCTCATATGTAAGTGTGCTCCCTAAATTCCCCCTTAGATAAATCGATCGCTATATATTACTTAGTATGACTACAATTCAACGAATCCAATTGAATAGTGGAGACAACTTGTACAGGGATAGCTCACATAGAGATGCATTAGAATATAATAGACGAAAATCTAGAGCGAAGGATAAGTAGCTCTTTCGCCCTCGTATAAAACGTTGTGAAGTTGAATGAACTTCTAGTTTCCGATTTCACGTGGAGATTATTCTGCATATCTAAGATGTTCTTATGCCACGACAAAAAATTGTATATACCTTACCATTGTGCTTAAAACTTGAAGGTCGTTAAAACACTAATAAATGAACGATAATTTTCTTTTATTCAAACCCAAAGAAACTTAAACAGCAATGTCTCAAATTTTTTAAAGTGTAAAATTTTCATTCGTAATAATTTGTTGTATAATTGTTAAATTATGTCTAAAAACATTGACACAAAAAGAGCTTGTAACCATCAAATAAGCCGAGCGTTGTAGCGGGACGACGCGCCACTGCTGCCCGTGATATCGGACGAAACTGAAGACATAGTCGTTCCGCTATGACGGATTCCAACTTTAAGTCTCCTGACAGGTGGCTTTCTCCCGCCATTACGTTTTCGGGATAGCGACGACTTATTTCCTCTCACGTTACGTATCAACCTTTTACGCTGTACTCTCCTTCTGTCTCCAGCATTAGATACAACAGGAATGCCTCGGGCTATATTTTTCAAGTATTCATAAGCTTTTGTTTTGCTCTTTCTAGGCAATATTTCGCGTTTGACGAAAATTGAGATATGAACATCCCGTCTCCTTTTCATGGATACATTAGAGTGCCCAGGATTTATGTGATCTTCGCTGTGTTGCCGCATTTCGACAGAAAGGTTACCGCCGTCACCGCTGTTCTGAGGGGCTTGCGTTGATATTTCCACGACTTTGGTCACTTTGTCTAAATCGATTTCATTCTCTCTAGTTTGTTGGTTCTGGTCACCTGCGGATATTCTACTACCTACCACTTTCCTGACAAACTTTTCTTCTATAACCGAGGGCGCCTGTGCGTTCTTTAATGCACTAGCATCGGCTGTGTTTTCCACATCATCTACTGCTACATCATCTATTGCCGCCACAATATCAGTTTCCATTTCACACACAAAATCTGTCTGTGTAAATAAACTCAATGAAGTATTAAAGTTATATTTGTAAATCAGTATGAAAATATCTCCTTTCTGTCAAGAGATGACACGAACTGACGTGATTCGAAAATAATTTGATAGACATTTTAATGACACTGGTTGCCTTTATGAAAGAATTAAACATGCTCAGAATATAAAAAAATAATCGATACAAAAAGTTCTATTGGTGGTATATTAGTATAATATTTAATGCCAAGGTGTCCTGCCTGTTATCGTTCGTTGGTCGTCGTCCTGCGAATACGAATTTACATAAAGGGACAGGAAAACACTTAATTTGTTAGAAAATCTTTAATGAATTTGCTTAAATCTAGCTTAACTTAAACCATGCAGCAAGAAATACATAAATTACTCAATTAAATTCATAAAGGCAGTATTTACACGATTTTGGTAGCGAAACCGCAGAAATCGAGTTTTATTCAATGCATTTATACTACACGAAGACGAAGCCGTTATCAACGTCGACCTTTTTGAGATCTCGCGGTAACAATTCTGATACTATGTTCGTTGGTATTTTGTCTGAAACGAATGATTTAGTTTTGATATAACATATTGCAGGTATAACATTATTTTCAAAATAAAAGTAAATACAATTTTATATAGCTTCATTTCATCCCGAAAGAGTAAAAGGAATGACTATACAGTCAGATACCATATAAAAGAATTAAAGTGTTACAAAAAGCTACTTACCGTTACATCTATACTCCAGTTTCGACCAAATAATCATCTCCTGAGAGAAACAGAAGACACCCAATCTTCCACCCTTCAGTGTAAAGTCATAGACATTGCCACTGTCAGCCACCTGGCGAGAACCTTCGTAGATCTTGAGACGAATAAGACCGATTTTTGGACGGTGGAGCAAGCGCCACCGGTAAGCTGTCTTCTCACGCCAGCCTACGTTACGAGGATCTTTCCAGAGAAGTGTGACCTAATGGCAACAAAAGGTATGGTTAAACAACTATTTTTAGAATGAACTTGATCACTCTGTGCAACTAATTAAGTAGCACAAAAATTGGGAATCGCACATAGTTAACTAACGTGGGGTGAATCATTGCGCAAATAAATTGCTATAGGTGGGTCATATAAGCCGTAAAACCGATGACCGGCCAAATCTGGCGGTCGGACAAATCTGGATGCAAATAACCTAAAATGGAAAAGGATGGTGTGTAAACGAGGAAGCCTACATAAGGGCAGCGGGTGATTATAGGCTGAGGAAACCGTAATAATAAAAAAGGTCACTTTTACCTGCTCTCGATTTCATTTCTGAATTATCATTTCGTAGTTTTCAGGGTGCGGACGGGTTATTGTCAAGGATGCTCGATCGTGTATGTTATCTAGCTTAAAGTTTTAACTCGTACCTGATCTTGCGTAGACTCAGTATTCCAAAGCGCGTTCCTCAATATCTTCCCTGGCCCGGTCTTCGAGTTAACCAGCTTCAATTGAATGCCTGGCTCAGCGACGGCTCTAAATGGCGTCGTCTGCCAGTACGTCTGTGTGTTTTTCTTCCACATCACCACGTAAAAACGCTTGTTGTTCTGATAACTGACCAGATATAATCCAAAATTAAAGACAGACTTAGAGCTTTATATAATTTTGGATTCACTTTAGGATCTTTCCCTATTGAAATCAAGAGAATATGGAAAATAATCACAATTTTTCTTCTTTTCGCCTATATAACATGATTATATCAAGTACAAATTCAAGGACATATTATACAACTTACCCGAAAATGAACCCAACATAATCATCGTCAATCGGAGTATCAACAAACAAGGTTCCTTCGAAGTCAACTCCACCGAAGCTCTCGAACCCAACGGCCAGACCAGGATCAGAATTGAGTGTTTGACGAACTTCAGCTCCTTCGTTATAGATCTCCCAGTTCGGATCTTGTTGGGATTCGCCTTCGGGATCGAGACGAACTGTCATGTATTCCCTGCAAGAACATTATTTTCAAACATTGTCCAAAAGGCCATTTAATATAATTCAGAAACCTGGATTCAGACTCGCAACAAAATTTGTACATGTTTAGTAGTTAAGTGCACATATTCATTCCGAAAAGAGCCCTCGCGAACATTTTGCCATCTCCGTATTCAATTAGTGATCAGATTACTTATTCTAGATCTGTGTAGTCAATTGTTGACGTCGCGTCGTTACAATATTATCATGTGTTAATTCTAGTTTTCCTTACAATTCAGTTAATATGCCTGCCACTACCTAATTACCTGAAATCCGTGCGATATATCTTGGAGTTGTTAGGACAGTTGTCAAGTTCGTTAATCACAGTATCACCGTCGTGGTCGTTGTCGCAAGCGTCGCCTATGCCGTCACCTGAAAAAAAAATATCTAATGTTTAAATTTTAATAATTGAAACTATTTTATGTGGGCTTTATTTCTTCAAAGCCGAAACAAGTATAGTATAGCAACAAGGTATGCTTGATGTAATAAGGCGACGCGTTCTCGGTTCAGGGTCTTGTATTTCACACATTTTATCTACATATTTCTAAGGTCTATTATATTATGTCAAGTCTCTGTTATCTCATCTACCTATATTCTTGACAAATATTTTGCTGACAATACAATTTTCAAATTTCAACGCCTTCGAACTATCTGACAATGTTTAAATATTTAATATGTCGTCGTTATACTGCGAAAACCAATTATCTGGAATTTTAACAGAAAATGACTTAATTTAGGATAACGCGACAAAATTGTATATGTAAAATGCAAACATCTTCAAATTTTGGTAAAATATAAAATGTGGAATCACAATTACAAATTTACGTAGGATGACCATAGTATACCCAAGAAAAAATCGTTGTTGAAATTTCAATTGCATTTATTTCAAGATCGATATTTTGTGAAATAATTGTTTTTCCCAGTATAATGGCGATGTGTAAACAAACAATACTCTTAAAGAAAAATTATTGCCGCCTAAACCGTGGCAGTAAAATGATGAAAATGTTTCTATTAACAGCTAAAATTTTGAATCTGGAATCTTGCCTCAAAAATTTATCGTGTTTTACATATTTTGAACTTGCTTTAATTCAATTTTTAATCATTTAGCTACACTTCATCTCATACATAACGAACTGCAAAACTACTCGAAAATACTGTGTTGAATAATGTAAAAAGCCGTTCACATTCCTAAATTACTGAATTACATTTTGTTTCTTTGACTTAAGAAGTTTATAAAATCTCTTGTGAATGTAACCCCAATATAGGAGCCACATCATGAAAAACATTATGAAATAAAAGTAAATAAAATTATAAAAAAAAACAAATCCTTCCAAACTCTCACATACATTTAACATTTTAATAATGTACACATTTTTTTAATAAAAGAATGTAGAAAACCTCTATCAAACGTTAGATAGAAAATGAGCGTTTTTGTTACGTATTAATAATAATAATAAATCGCTTATTTGTCTCAACACATTAATAAATAATATAAACTACATTACACACAAACTTCAGTACCACTTTGTATTGTAGATAGCGGTGTGAGATAAAAGGTCTGTAGCTTAACAATATAGCGGAGAATTTAGTGTCGCTAATGTTATCTTACAGTGCGCCATATTTAAAACGACCTAATTTGCTTACTTACCATTAGAGTCGGCCTGGTCAGGATTGTGGACAATAGGGCAATTGTCCATTTCGTCAGGAATGCCGTCTCCGTCGTCGTCGTCGTCACATACATCACCACGACCATCGTTGTCCACATCTTGCTGATCACTGTTCGCTACATTAGGACAGTTGTCTATGCCGTCTTGAATACCATCCCTAGAAATAAGAAAATTAGAAGATTTAAACATAATACAATAAGACAAGTCTAACACCTCTCTGTTCGGCGCGTCAATGCCTACTCGGAGCGGGTTCTCACATTATTAATTTATATCTGCAGGTCGGTCTCGCTACTTTTGACTTTCATTATTATCATGCAATCCTAGGAATCTCTTCGTGCCAATTTTCAGCCCGAGCAAACTTAAAAAAAACTTGTAAAAAGTTTTTACAAAAAAATTTAAAATAAATTTTCAGTTGTGAGTTCAGTTACCGCCAAAAAACGTTTGTATGGCGACCATATTACATAATAGCTGATCACTAATGTTGATCACAAATTATTATCAAGACTCCTAGAGCACTTTTACCTGTCAATTTTCAAAGAAATCAGAGCAAATTTTTTTTTTGCCGCCAACTAACGCTTGTATGGCTACATTAGAAAATGGCAAAAATCCAATTTTGACAAATTTTTACTCCTTTTCCTCCAATTTTGGCATGCCAATTTTCAGAATAAGTCTTTTTCGGCAACCATATTTAATGAGAAAAACGCTTATATGGCAGCCATGTTAAAAATGCCGAAACTCTGTTGACCCCAAATTATTATTAGGACTCATAAAAACCTTCATATACCAATTTTCAGCAGGATCGAGACAACTTTTTCTTCTGCCGCCATCTTGAAATTTTTTGATAAAGAACAGCTGACCACTGTTACCCTATGACATTCCTTCTAGCACCTCTTAGCTATCTTTTATAGTTTTTGTGATAGAAGACTTTGAAATTTGTGTGGCGGTCATCTTTTTTATTTTAATTTCGAACATTTTTTACTTCCATCGGAAATTGTCCAGACCTTTTATAAAAATGCACAAATATTCCCTCCGTATATTACAATTTTTGCAGGCCGTTGGTCACTCTTTTGTATTTTCCACATTTAGGTCACCTCGTATTTTTCCCGTTGCTTTGGAACCTATCCGGTTACAGATTATGTTTGTTTGGAGTTAGACTACTGTCTTATTATATTATGTCAAGAAGCATATTTATCTCCAAACACTTTCTTGATTATTCCAATTTAAACGTGATTACATATAAATACGAAAAAGAATAAAATAAAAAGTGATAAGTACCAGGATCTCGGCTTCGACTACTTATTTACAGCCTTTGGAGTCGAAACCCTTGGCCCGTGGGGTCCCAGTGCCCTTCATCTGTACAAAATTTAGTATAGCAATACAAAGGGGGAACGCTGTAAACATCTTGGGCACCTTGCCGCGGGGACTCAATTTTATTCATATAATTTAAAAATTCTAGTTTTACTTTCTAGTAATTAAGCTCTTATTGTCTTTTTTACCTTACTTGTATATTATCAAAGTAAAAATAACTCCCACTTAACACGAAATAAAATTTTGCAAATTAAATTATAATCACACTTGCTTTGTGAATCAACACAGGGTCACTTCATAGCCAGTATCAATATTCTCGTCTGTAAATTTCATTCTACAGCCTAAATTCCTACATGACCTAAATATGAAACCTTTAATTTGAAAACCTAGTGGCACATTCCTCCGTTAACAAATTCCTATGTTATACAATTGTTCTCATAGTATTGACTCACTGGTCTCTATCGACATCGCTGTCACAAGCGTCTCCAACGTTGTCCTTGTCTGCATCCTCCTGAGACGGGTTGCGAACCCTGGGACAATTGTCACAAACATCGCCAATGTAGTCGCCATCCATATCCTCTTGGTGGCGATTGGCCTTGCTTGGACAGTTGTCGTGTTCGTTTGGAATCCCTGCAGGGAAAAAAACGCACTGGAAAGATCCTTTCATTTTCCATGAAACAACTAGTTTAAACATAACTATTAAATTGGATATGAAGCAAATCTTAGATTAATTTCTAAATGTGTTTATTTTGTTGTTTTCCCATATTGTAGTATAGTATTCCCACTTAAATACATTACCAATTTTATAGATTGTTATTTTCCTATTAGGTTGAACAGTTGAAAATCTGTGAACATTCATGAGATTTAAAATAGTCTTATGAGAAAGTTTCATGTTACTTTCCTTGAACCTATGCTCATGGTTATTAACCTCACCGTCATCATCAATATCAGGGTCACAAACGTCACCCTGGCCGTCTCCATCTGTATCCTCCTGCCCAGGGTTGTATCTGTAGGGGCAATTGTCGCAAGCGTCGCCTCGGTTGTCGCGTCTGTCTTCGTCGCGGTCCGCTTGGTCGGGATTTGGAGTCAGGGGACAGTTGTCCTGAAACAAATATCATCCAATATTGGACTGTATATAGTATACTTCGCGAATTTTTATTAACCGTGCGCGATATGCTTTCGTACTTATTTTCATTTGTACATGTACATTGTTACGTATTTTCATTCTTTTCGTGATACGGTATTTAATTCATTTCCCTTCCAAATGCATCATTTCCCCATTTTATCCTACAGCAGTAAACCCATCTCTTAATAGGTATTTCAAACTTACTGGGTTATTCGCAATACCGTCACCATCAGCATCAGGATCACATGAGTCTCCCAACCCATCTCTATCAGCGTCTTCTTGTCCCGAATTGGAGACGTCGGGACAGTTGTCAGCTTTACAATGACGTTCATTGCACGGCAGTTGATGGTCCGGGTACCCGTCCAGGTCTGTGTCTTGACCACAAACTGTACCATTGCCTGCCCAACCAGTCTAGAAAAAAATTAAGTGGCATATAAAATAAAAACTACGGAATGTTGCATCATTCTTATGCTAAAAAAAATAGAACCATAAAAACACAAGGCATGAAATGAAAGTACAGCACAAAAGAAATATGCTTCTAGCGCAAAAATAGTCATATCATATTCATTAAGTACATAGGTACGAAAACACCTGCAAATTTACTTACCGCACAAACACACTTCACTCCGTAACTACAGATGGCATGGAATCGAGCACAGTAAGAAGGATCACAACGCTTCACCAAGTCCTCAGCTATAAGGCATGTGCCTCCCGTTATATTCATCCCGTAGTACCCACTGCCACATGGCACGCAGTTGTATGAACCCTGTACGTTTAACAGGATAGGTTTTTTGTTATAATTGTTATTGGTTTTCAACTAATATAATAAAACTTTACGGACGTAGAAACAAAGTTAAATTAAAGAGAACAGAATTTGTGGTGCTTACAGGAGTATTAACACAGCTTCTTCCCCTTGGACATTGGACTCCTCTAGCGCACTCATCTACATCATGACAATGCTCTCTTTGACCCGTGTTGCCTGATCCGCTCCAACCGCTGCTACCTTCGTACCCAGCTGGACAAGGGCCACAGACAAACCCGCCTTCCACGTTACGACAAGACACCAATTCGTCGCAAGGATTGTATAGATCACATTGATCTACACTCACACACCTGTCACCTGAAAAATTTTTGTTACCTAAGTATTTATAAAAGTGCAGATAGATCACTCTTCTGAAGAATTTCAAGCGCTGTCAATTAAAAATAAACTGACTTGAAGATTTTGTAGTAATATACTATATAAAATCTGCATCAATATAGAAAACAAAAATGTTACCTCTCAATTCCTGTCCCGCAGAACAACCTTCGCATTTGTAAAACGGACTGGAACTAATGGGTCTACAAGGCCTACTACCACAAGGTTTCTGATTGTCACAAATATGGACGCACTCTTGCCCGTTGCCATAATATCCACTAGGGCATCTGCCACATCGAGGTCCAGATTCCGTTTCATGACATTCCACACCTGAAAGCAATTATTATGATACACGAAAAGAGAGAAACCGCGTAACTTGGAATCGAAACAAGTGCAGGGAATACCATGAAGTATATATGAAATATCACTGCGATAGTTTTCAGAACTGTCGATAGTAACCAATGTCAAAGCAATTAAGGTCCAGAAGACTTTCATCAAGAGAAACGAAATCACGTGAGAAATCTCTTACCTGGGAAGCAAGAATCAGGACGACATAGGCTAACTCTGTAACATTGCTCGCCATTACCCTGATAGCCGCTTGGGCACGGTCCACATCGGTAAGAGCCGTCGGGTAAGTCCTCGCATTGAACACCTGATTTAGAGCAATAAGTTTGTTATTATTATTAATAAAAAGATCGAACACAGAATAATTCCTTCGACCCGGCTGGATTCGAACCAGCGACTTCAGACACGGTATGCTACCAAACCATTGGAGTAATTTCACAAAAAAAAAATTAAATAACACTGGAGTAAGACATCGTGATATTCAAAAGAAAACACCATGTACGGAAAAAGAGACATAATTTGTTTTGTTAAAATTCTCTTTAATTATGAAAACTCAAAGTGTCTCCACTTTTGAAAATCAAGTTATTGAAAATAAATTTAACAATCATCAATTCGCACCCTTAGTGTAATTAGACCCATTTGCAAAATGAGAACTTTTGAGGAGAGACGTTTATAGAATAAGGACAGTTATACAATTTTACATATATGTGTACATAATTTATTTCATGTGGTTCGCATTATTTTTACAACTTTCATGTGATAACATTTGACGTATGATCACATGTGGCTTTATTATACCAAGTATGGGAATGAGTTTTGAAAGAAAATTGAAGGAGAAAGGTATTACCACCTGCTAACAAGTCACATTACAATATAGATACAGTTTAATTACTATAAAAGTAGATACTTACGACCACCAAAGCAAGGGTTAGATCTACAAGCAGAATAGCACGTTTGACCGTCACTCGTCTGTCTGCCAGGACATCTTTCGCAACGGTAACCACGGTCCGTATCTATACATTGCTCCACTAAAACAAGAACGAGCTGTTTTAAATTAAATTTAAAGATAATCTTAACTTATAAGACGTGTCGAGTTCTTAGGTTACTATTGATTGATTTGACTAAATATCAAAATAAATCTAAATATCTTATATATATATCTATATAATATCTATATATAATCTAAATATCAAATCCAGTTGTATGATGATTTCAATTGTGTATTTATAAAATACTATTCCAAAAATTATTATCACCTCTATCTTTAACGTCACTTCCCTTGTAGTAAATAACCCTTTCCACCGACTCCACCTTTCTCGACTTAAACGGGTACTCCAATTGTTCAACGTACCTCCAGAGCAAGGTCTTCTATCGCAAGTGATTGGCTCGCATCGTCGTCCATCGCCTTCCATTCCACGTGGACAAGCCCCGCATTGGATTCCTGATGTCGTCTCGTGGCATTCCACACCTGATTATTCATCAAGCATTTTTGGAAATCCATTGTCGACTTTAAAATAAGCTCGTTACTTTAAAACCAATTTTGAACATTTCTTCTTTACTTTGAACCACATAAAGTACAAATTGTTCAAATATGTTTATGTTTGCAGCCTTTTAATACAAATTGTTGCAATAATTGTAAATGCGAAATTTTTGTTTGCATACAGAGTTATCGGTGACCCAACTAACAAAATTAAAACACAGATAAGAAGCAAATAAGCTTTCAAGTTCATAATAAGGCTAATCAAGCAACTTGACTAATTAACATATTCGCGTGGGTCCGAACTCTGTAGGCAGGCATGTTGTAACACTATATCTGAGAACTTTAGGTGTTGGGCTCACAAAATAAAACGCGACACATTGTTTACGATATCTTTAATCAAAACCCACACTACGATTATAAAAAGTTGCTTGATTCACCTTTACTTAAAATTAGAATAAATGCAAGAAAACTAAAGACATAGTAGAAGAATCCGAAAATACGTAAGTTAGCACAAAATCTTAAGTAATACAGTTTTAATAAAGATTTAAAAGAACCAATAGAAAGTACAGCGAAACAAGTACCCTTGAAAAATCCACTCAAACTAAGGATGAAGTAAGTCGAAGAAAATTTAACTAACAATAGTTAAAGTAAGTATGTTATTTAAAGGAATAAAATATAAAGAGGTTTTAATAACCAGGGTAGCAGGAAGATGATGTGCATCGTTCCTTTGGAGGGGGTGCAGGTGTGATTGGCTTGTAGCAACATTGACGGAGTTGCGCTCGCAAGTTGTCTATAGTGCCTTTCTGATCGCCGATCTCGCGTCGAAGAAGCTCTATAGTCTGACGCAGAAGCTGCAATTCACGGACCACGCCATCTGGGAAACGGAGACAAAATATACTTCCGGACAAATAATTCGAGCCGCCTCGCATTTTTGTTTTAAAGGGCTAGAATACAAAGGCAGTGTTATCGTCGAAGAAAAAGTTTTTCCCCGCTTTTGCAAATCCAGATTTCTAACAAAGATTTATGAAAAAGACGTTTAGAATACTAGTTTTAAAATTGCTTAATAGTTTTCGATCAATCAAACATTGTTTAAGCTTAGGGCATTTAATACTGAAAATGCGAGGTGACTCGAATTATGTGTCCGGGAGTGTATTTCAATGATTATTAGTTACTGTAAAAATGAAAATGCTATTTGAATTATCAATTTTATTTTTTTTATCTTTTTGGACTTTTTTAAAGTACCCAATGAACGTAATGTGTGTGTGCGTCATTGGGTCTTGTGTAATCAATTTGAAGAATGTTTGTAAAAAAAATCATAAAATATAAAAAGAAACGCTCGTAATATTTAAATATAGTATGAAGAGGATGTACGCAGACATTCCGTAACGCATTTTAATTGCATGGGGATACTGTATTGAAATATAGCAAATCATTGTAGCAAATAATACGGTAACTTATATACTCATTCAAATAAAACAAACCTTCGCAATGGTCACATTCATAGCGGGGCGGCGTAGCGCACTTGTCTAGTTTTTAATACATCACATGTATTTGTAATAGTTGTGTAGGTGTGTACATTCGGTGCCCTAAGATGTCTGACCCCTAACAGACGTTGACATTCTGAGAGCACGTTACATATTTAACAGAAAAGCTTTGAATGAATTTTAACTTCATAATAAAAGTAAAACGTTAGAGTCCTTTTAGGTTTAGGTAATACCACACTTCATTTTAAAAAATCAAGAAGTCATACCAAAAAGCATTGTACAACCCACAAGGTAAAGATTAAATTTGTTTAACTCTTTTCGCACTTATCTGCTCAGAACCAAAAGATCGTTTAGAGGGTCAGGAATCTCAGGGGAGTGGCTGTACACCGAAATAAAAAGTAGCTCTTACTTACCATCACACATCTCTATTCCAGTAGCAGGTATATCACCTCTCTGTGTCGATTGGTCAATACCAACAACATTTTCATCAATATAATTCGTCCTGTAATCATCGCCTTGCATTTGTTCCTCTCTTTTTCTCCTACCCTCTTTGGCCATGAAGTCTTTAACTTCGACTACATCATCATCAACTGACACAAGTGTTGGTGGTCTTAGGGAGTCTTCAGTATTACAACGTAGATAGTTTAAAGCTGCCTTTTGGTTGCCATAGATTTCTACTGGTGCACTTTCTTCGTGATACTAGAAAGAATTTATTAAGAAATTACCATTAACACGTAGACGTACCATTGCTAGGAATATAGGGCCATAATCCGTGACATTCGACATCTCCGATTATTCTATGATGATGATATCTCAACACGTTTTTTTTTCTTTAATTATTAAAACATGTAATCACACGTAGGAACTTCTTAATAATAGATAATGGGATTATAATCAATTACTGAAGGTTACCTTTGTATGTTAATAGAGTAACCGCCTCATTTCGTTTACCAGTGTTATGGAACGCATTGGTGCGCTGTCTTTTGTTTTCAAACCGAAAACAAAAGTCAAAATGTCAGCCAGCTTTTTTTAGTTTGAATATAATTTGTCTTTGTTTCATATGTAATTATAAGTAGATAATATAGATGCCAGTACAGTCACGTGTATGATTTAAATAATAATAACTTTTTTTACAAAAACAACGCCCTCAAAAGTTTGTGGAATTTCGCCTGAAAGTATTTGCCAAGATTTAATGAAATCGGTTAATGGAAAGTTGGTGAAATCTAATAAAAAGGATTCATCCCCTAATTTACCACCTTTAGAAGTGGAATATTTTCTTCCAATTCCAATATTTCAATAACACAGCTATTGACGTACCCCCTTTCCAACAAAAAAAGAATCATCGAAATCGGTTCACAAATGTCGGAGTAATAGCATAACATAAACACTAAAAAATACAGCCGAATAAAGACGCTCCTCCTTTTTTTGAAGTCGGTTAAAACTTCAATATAAAGTAAATTAAATGTAATGAAATTCAAATTCAAAATTATATTGGAAAAAATCCAACTCGGCATTGTTCAAAGAGCAATACAATTATAGCATTACCATGCTGCCACGCAGAGGTCCCAGGTATGATTCACGGGCTGGGAGAAATATTTGTATCGCCTACATTTATTTCTCTCGTGAGTTTGGGTGTACTTTGTGGTTGTCTATGTGTGTGTCCATGGCACCCGCGACACAGGGTTTCCTTAGTGCGGGGCTATGTTGAGTGCGTGTGTTATTATTATTCACGTATTAAAGCGTCATTAAGAGAAAACAAAACTATCTTACCAATTGAAGCTTTTGACTGGCTAGCAAGGTCAGCAAATTGTGCGTAGATGGCATAGCATGCCAATGAAGAGCTCTGCAGCCAATGAACAGTTGTACTCTAGTTGACGCTACTATTAGGAGTAGAGTTGCATGAGAATGTGTACTCAGACTCCAGGAGACAGATTTCAGATGACCACCGTGTAGACTCTCCAAAGTCACTGCGAATTAATTAAAATTTGACATAAATTGCCATTACGAAACTCTGATGGTTTTAACATTTATCTTATTTAATATCATTATGTTATTTTTTGTGAAATTACTCTACTTGTTTGCTACCTGAGAGGATACGGCGATAAAAGCAGAAAAAATCAATACAAAAGATGTGTAATAAACACTTAGAGAAATTCGTAAGGTCTTCTAAATCGATCTATAAGCTCAATTAGTAGACGTTGGCTCTGATTTGGTGCAGGCGCATGTTCCAGTCCCGTCAAGTCGAAAGGATTTTTCTTTGTATTCGATCTCTGTATTAATATAATTATAGCAGACAGTTATAAGTTTTTTTTAAAGATTAGTGGTATTTAAACAGTATTTGCTACAGATTGAGATATTCCGCTCAAAAATGAAATGGTCCCTAAGTAGTATCTCAGTACAGCAAATATAATTTGTAACCTTACTGAAGATCAGAGTGTCATACTTAATTTCGGCAAACACTATTTCGACTCGACAGTACTTCGACTACACATTAATTCTATGGAACACTACTTCGACCATTGAGTATACAATCAGAAATAGAGACGAAATAAGGCCCATCCATCCCTGGCAACTCATTATTAAATCACTCTTATATATCAAGTCTTGTTTGTACTGAATTCACGAATTAGAAAGCTGAAATAGCACGCCAACAACTGACCAGTGTGTGCGTCTCCGTATATTCCAAAAATATTCTGTATTTATTGTAATAATAATATCTCTAACTATGGGGGGCTGTTTCATTCGGTGGTGTGGGAAAATTAGCAAAACATCTAATTACAAAACAAACAGAATAACATTTCATCGGTAATTAAATATTAAATATATAATTTTTCAATTTTCGTCCATTATATCAAAACTCAAGTTAAACTGGTCGATTTGAAGTGAAACAATTGATGACGCCCTTCAATTGTTTCGAATTCGGGCTGGCCAATCGGAGCGCAGTTGTTACCGTAATGATACGGCTGAATAGTTTTCAAACAAATTAAATGACATTTCGTCTCTATTTCTGGTTATATACTCGATGACTTGGACAATGAACAGTCAGACCTTGAGTTAAATTATAATGAATGATTGTAATACTTTGAAAAATTTGTAATTATCTTACCCTTGTTGCTTTTCCGGTTATAAAAGAGTGAGAATGAAGCATCGTCAGTTCCTTTTGCGTGGAACAGTTCTTCCCTACGAGCGCTTTTGCCGTGAGGGCCTCTGATTAGAATAGCAATCGCTCCACCTTCTGGAACTGTACCTGCTGCCGATATCAAGTTGTTGGTCGCTTCTGTAATAGAAATAATTTTAATTTTTTTAAAGTCTGATAAAAACAGTATTCACATTATTATCATGGGTATAAATGTATTCCTTGTAGATATTTAATTGGTTCAGTATATTGACTATGTGATACCATTGTTCAAACCTTTAAACATTCCACCCAGCACTACTCAGCTACACGAACGACCGAAAACCGGGCTGCAAGATAATAATACTTGAACGGCACTTTACACCGACGACAACACACTTAGATTCTAGAGACCTTTTTTGTAAGAGTGTGTGTTAATCTAAATTTGTATATATGTATATAGCATTTATTTTTTATTAAGAATTAACTTTTAACAGCAGTCGAGTTTCATTTATCTCCTGCTAGCATCCTCACACTGTGACTAAGACACCCTTAGCCGTCAGTAGATCGGTCTGGTGAGTCTGTGAGACCCCCCGTCCGTCTGTTGCCTTAGGTCTCACAGCGCAGATAGCCTGTACTTATTTATATGTTTATTTAGCACACTTATATGGTTAGGGCTTGTTAGGATACTTAGGGTGATAGGCACACACCTAAAGACGCTAGGGTACTTCTTGCCCTAAATTATTGAGTTCATTCCTATACAGTTTGTCGACGACCACAGAGACACCACAGACATACAAACATGCACTAGTTGGCAGACTGTACAACCGTAATGTGCCTCGAATACTATTTAATTCTCTTATTTCTTTTCTTTTTTTTGCGAAAGAGTAGTAGTTTTTAGTAACAGTCGAGCTCCTTATGAAAGAATTCGTCCAGGTACGTACTGCCACCACCCTAACCACCGGAACGGTGCTAGTAAAATTACAGGCACATAGACTTATATCTAAGTAGCAATGCAACTGCCATGGACAGGCGTGACATGCTTGTTTGTCCCATCATTTGATAACATAAAAAAAGACGATGACACCTGATCTCAAACTTGGGAATCCCGTCTCTATATGTATTGTAATAGTACTCATAGAACCACCAAAGTAAAGGAATTCACTACCTAGAGCACTCAGAATTTAGAAAGTTCAATTTCCAAATATTCCTACCGGGAATAGAACCTGGAAACTCATGAGGAGTCCAGCGTCCACAATGCAAAAAGCGTGACACCGAGTTCGTATATTGCGCTCTCAATAATGAAACATTTTATAAAACTGGTAAAATACATAGTATACTGGTAAATAATAACTTTCATGGCATTAGCTACATATATAGTATGCCATTTGGTTGCTACCAAATATAACAAAATACTACTTCAGATGACCAACGAGATATTATTAATTTTATTCCAAAAGTTTCTGTTAGTTTGAAAAAAATGCAATTTTTCCAATTATATCACTTTGTTCACGAAGTTGCATTATGATATATTAATAAATCTTAATTCACGGCTCAGTAAACAGTTGTCAACTAAGTATCAAACCAAATAAATACCAACTGTATTGTAAATTTAGAACATATTTACAGAAAATCTTTACATACTGACTTGGAAAACAGTGAAACCACTCTGCCCGGCAATTACAGAGCAAATGTATTACATTTTTATCACTACAATAGATCTGATTACCTGTACTAAAGAAGAGAGTATCTGCATAATATAAAGAAAGTGGTGGGGTAGAATTGGACGCTGGTGACAAAGTACCGAGAGAAGTGGCGGAACCTGAAGAAGACCTATACCGATATGGTTGTGAAAGGCTAGAAAGAAGAGAGAACATACTATATGCACAAATAAAGATTATCAAGTAGCAGTAGAGCTTGCCAAAGAGTTCGTCCAAGGAAGTACTGCCACCACACTATGTGAACCAATACTGCGTTCCGGTTTTGAAGGAAAAGGACGCTGATGAAATTACAGGCACATTATGGGACTTGTCAAATTATGCCTCAGGGTGACGGATGGCAGTGGCAGTGCCCCTAAGAGCCAAAAAAATACATTGCGCACTCAAAGGTCGGTCCAAGAGCATTGAAATAGCATAAAATATACATTGATCAATTTATGTCCTCTGCCATCCCATCTGTCGGTTTGCGCTGACATTTAGATGTGAAACTCTGAGTGGCACTGCAACTGTTATGGCATGAGACGCACTTATTCGTCCCACTACTTGATATCGTAGGCATAATCTAATATAAAAAACATATTTCCAACATTCCTAAAATAGTTTCTCTATGTTCTCATTTCTCACATGCAAAAGGTAAATATTTCAAACAAAGAAACTCACACGTTACCCTCCCAGCACACATAAATTTTATACGAAGCGACGGTGGGACTTTTTGAAGCTTCTCAAAGTTTCACGTAAGTAATTCCGCAGTCTACTGACATACTGAGATACGTGGAGGGAGTTTCCGAACCGCGTAAGGTAAACTTGAGGAAAATTGAATGTTCGGTATTGAAATTCGATATTTTTGAAAATTACCTATAAATAAAAGTCTTTAAAGACCTTCGAGTCCAGCCGGGTCGAAGGAATTCTTCTTTGTGTTCGATGTTTGTATTAATAATTACAACAAAGTAATGGAATAATTTCAAAAAAGTAACTGAATATTGAGGTAGTAAAACATCGTAATATTCAATAATAATAATAATAATAAAATAACAATTACCTATATTATATACCAATTATAATTTTTCTGAGAAAATCCGACCTCTAAAATGTTGCTTAATCGGTATGATCGTTACCGCGGTTTCTTCATAATAATATAACAACTGAAATGTATATGGAAGTCCTCGTCAAAACGAATCATTTGAACCTAAACACAAGGTACATCTCTACATTCTTGAGGAGTTCCTCTCATCAGTCTGCCATTTCCATCAGAATTACATCTATTTGCCAAGTTTTATTGGAATCGGTTAACGAAAAGTAGGTGAAATCTAATAAACCGGATTCGTTAGAAGTCTTTCCAACAAAAAAAGATTCATCGAAATCGGTTCTTAAATGTCGGTGTAATCGCATAACATACAATCGAATTGAGAATCTCCTCCTTTTTGAAGTCGGTTAAAAAATTATAGTGTTACATTTACTAGTACTGTTCACCGTTTTTTTTCTACGATATTTTTCTACGATTTTCGAGATAATTGACACGACCTCGTACAAAGGAAAATGGAGGAATGTGGCTCAAGTATCTGGAACTCCACGTACTGTTGGCATACGTGTCACGTCAACTAAACACTTCTACTGTATTTATTAAATTATTATTTTGAGGTGTTACCTCATACAAAGTATTTCGGGTCATTATAGTTGGGTCAGATTCTCACTTATTTCGGTCTTTATAAAATTCTTTGAATGGACACCACTTTATCAACGAAGAGATTATCGAACGATACTTAAAACTGTATTTTATAATTACTTATACAGACAGGATTTTTTATGAAAAGGTTGTTGTAGATCAGCAATGCCAATATATAACTGATTAAAGTCTGTTATTTATTTTTGTAAATGTTTTTAATTTATACTTTGATGCTTTGTCTTTTAATATTACCCTTATAACTTGACCTCGGTGGCAAAGCGATTTGATCTTTGGGCACTAGGTGAGGACGTCTCGAGTTCGATTGTCGTTTGACCCAATTTAGGATACGAACTTTTATAAATTGAGATTACCTGAGCTGGTGAGTTTTTTTTTATGCTTGGCACGAACAAGTCGTACCGTACGTACGTACGTACCGTACATCATACCTGGTGGTAAACGACATGCCTATCCATGACAGCTGTAGTGCCACTCAGAGCTTTAAAACGCAAATCTGATGGGTACCGCCACTGTACTGACAAGATATGCATGTAATTCCACCAGCATCTTTACCCATCAAAACCGGAACGCAGTAATGCTCACATTACCTACTAATTGACGGCAGAAGTAGGTAAGGTGGCAGTACTTCCCTGGACAAACTCTTTCACAAGGAGCTCTACCACTACTATTGTTTAGCACGTTATTATTATCACTATTTTGACTTCAAAAGGTACTCCTTGTGGCTTCCAAAGCCCTTCCAACGATAAGGCTTCCCGATTTACAATCGAAGCAGATGGAAATAAAAACAATTTATTTTTAATAAAACAAATATACATATACAAAAGCGTTATCCGCAAAGAAATTGTACCAAAAGTCACAGTTCACACAGATAAATGGAGTCTTGAATAGAATCCACAATAGCTTGATAAGGGGACTTCAACCCACTGAACTGTGCTCGTGTTGGGCAAGATTTGTTGCTAAACGGTTTAACACGTCTTATTTGCTAAATGATGTTTATTCCAGACATCTAATGGTATTAACGGTACCATAAACCCTTCTATATTAGACTATTAATAATTACTAGCTACTTTTGGGAGTAACATTTTATTTTTATTACAGTCATTAAAAATGTGTCGTGTGAATTTCAAGAGCGGGAACAGTGTTAAATGGTTAACACTGTTTATTGGTTTAATGGTTAACAGTGTTTAATGGTTAACAAAAAAAGCCACGGAACGAACTACCGGAACTTACGAATTTTTCTGTGTGCTTGTTGCAGATCTTTGTTTTTGGTTTTTAACAACTTTTTCTATTCTCATAAATCATCTCATCAAATCATCAAATCTATTTCTCATAGATGGCACCACGGTTATTTACGGTATTCGGGTAAAAAAATATTAGACATAAATATTTCTTGTTTTGAACAATATTAATTGGAATTGTGCATAAATTCGGTATTCGCGTGTTTTTTTAAACACACAACATTTCGGGTACTTTACAGGATGGGATCTTTCTTTAAAGACTCTTTCTCTTTAGGGACTCTTTAACCGAAACATTGGTTTATTAGGAAAAATAAATATACGCAATTTAGTTACTAAAAACTATCACAAAAACCTAAGAAGTCTATACTAGTAATGTTTATTATTGGTAGGATTAGGAGGATTCAGGTTTAAGTACTGTAAAGTTTTAAATGTACACTAATTCTACCACATGATTACAATAAATGTCTTATACTATGCTTACACTTCTCATTTTAGAATACGCACAGACTTGGTAGATTCGTTTGC